TTTAAAGGTACCAAGATACCAAGAAAGAAACAAGATGGATTAGGAATCAATTTTTTTTGCCTGTTATCATAACACTGGCATTTGGTAAAATTATTCTATTTGCTATGATGTTTATACATGTATTGCAATGGGAGATTATTGATATGTATATATAAAAAAGTAAATTTTATTACAAGATCTATATATTTCCTTTTTGTTTCTAAAGACGAGAGATACCACATTCTTAATATGATCTACCTGCAGGCAAAGGGACTTAGGCATGAAGTCAAATAACAGGAAGACATGTTACAGGGAAAAAAGAAAGAGACACATTTATAAAGGAAGAGGGTTAGAGATAATAATATTCAAAACACCACCTGAGAGTATCCAGTTTTGAAGTTATTCACATTTTTTTATTTCCAATTACCCTTTAGTATCTGACAGTGAAGAATGTGGCATCCTTGTAATTTCTTGCTGACTTTATGTCAATTCTAAGTTACAAATAACACCATTTCTTTTCAACCAAACCTAAATTTCTAGAACTGTCATTTCTTTGCTTCTTATATAAAAAGGAAAAGGTTACCTATCACAAACTTTAGAGAAAACAGACTTACTTCTTGGACGAGGTGCCAGGTAAGGCCGTGGTTGGTTGAGTACTCCAGCTTCACCTGGTTGTCCATGTGTGGAGTGTATTTCTGGCCACATCCCATTACCAAACTGAACTGAATCATGTAGGACGCTCCTATCTGCATCGATTGTGTTTCCACATAGCGCATACTTGAGGCGAGTTTAGAATCTCCTGTAAAACTAAAAGAGACAGAGGTGGAAATCAGAAAATTCTAAAAGCAATATATTAGAGAAAAATCAAGCTTTTAACTTATAACATAGACCATAACAGTTTCGTTTTACTTATTTAAGTCTTGCCAAGTTCTAGAATGGATTTAAATCTAATAAATGAGATTTAAAACAAGTTATCAAAGAAGCAACTTTTTAAAAATGTTAGTACCTACAGTTGTCAAATGTATCTGAAATGGGTACTCACTCATATTGCTCACAAGTACAAATCTTTTGACTCATTAATCTCACTTCTTTGTATCTATCCTAAGGAAATAATTCTCAACTTAGAGACAATTTTATAAAATATGACAAATATTACAGGATTATTTATAGGAATTGGTAACAATCTCAATGTCAAACTATAAGAAAAATGGAAGTCTTAAATAAAATGGTGTAGCTACTCGACAGAATATTATCCATATTTCAAGTTTTTATGAAGGTAATATGTCACATTAAAATGTATATGATGAAATAAGTTAAAAAAAAAACCCTCAAAATTCTATATAAAGAGAATTCACCAGAATGTTTGTGATAGCTGTTTGGTGGTGGGAAATTTGCGATTTAAAAATTTTCTTCTTATTTTTCAAATAGTCCTTAATGCTCATTCATTAAATACTGAAAACATCATAATGGAGTTTTAATTGCTGTGCCTCAGGTCAGTAAAATTCACGTTTTACTGGATCCCAACTGAGTATTATATAATTGTAAACTGTTTGAAGGCAAGCAAATTTTATTTTTTTTCAGAGAAAACTGCTCAGGAATTTGTAATCTATCAGAGAAGATTAAAACGTGGACATATTTTCTGTAGTTACATGGGTCACTGGAAATATCCCAGAGTCAACCACACTAAAATTTGTCTATCACAGTACTTGTTTCTGCTATTCTGAAACAGTTCCAGGACCACTTTTCAACAGTAACTCCTATTAGTCAGGTGGCTAGTAGCTGATGTGGACCAAGGACCAAAGCACTCTGTGAAATGTTTGAAGCAGTTAATATATTTTCTTAATTATCTTTTGCTGAATCAGCAAAAGGAGTAATTATTCTGACTTGCTTCTTGCAGAGATTAAGGTGTTATTTAATGATGGAACATTGTCTATATAGAAGATCACCATGGACTTAGACTAAGGTTATAAAATATAAGAAGCTTTTCCCAACAATGAGTAATTACCATTTAACAGTTTTTAAACCAAGGTTTTGCACTTGGACAATGAATAGAGGAATAAAATGGAAAAGTCCTAATCTTTGCTTTAGGTGAATGGTTCATAAAAAGAAGGGAAAAGTCATATTCAATACTGCTGGTCTTGCAAATATAATTAAAAAATAGAAAATGACACAACTTATCATTATTAATATAGATGCCTATCATTTGAGTCAAGGCTATGTACTAAGATTGTGCTAAGCACAATACTATCCACATTATCTTTAGTTCCCTCTTTCAGTACTTCTGTATCACAAGAATAATTATTTCTTTTTAACAGATGAGAAAATGCATCTAGTAAATGGCAGAGACTCAATGAGAAACCATCTTTGCCTGACTCCAAAGCCTCTTAACCAATACACTATTTCTTTGTCTTTCTATTACTCTAAGATTGGGAGAGAAAAACATTGCAATTTGGAATAAATTTTATAGTTAATTTACAAATCATTAACTCTCAGTTATTATGTAATGATACTCTGATGTTAAAAATATAAAACCATGATTGCTGCTATGTGGTTGGGTATACAGGATGCAATCTAGAAAATATAAAGCTATAGAATGCAATTTTTAGCAATATTGGAAAAATAAAAGAAATCAACACAGAACAAAAATAGTTGTAAGTCATATAGGCACAAACTTGTCCATATTGTTTCCAGGGTCTTTCTAGTATGCAAAAAAAAAAAAATCCCAAATGCTTTTCCCCATGAGAAATAAGTGCTGCTTTTAGCTTCAAGGGCTCTTTCTAGTACCCTTTATGAGGGGGGAGGTAATTAGAGGCAGCCATACAGGCTTCATTTAAATTGTTTGCTTTAAAGATACACCAGTCTCCTGCGCATCTGTGGAGAAACCCCATAGTGCATGTTAGCACCTAGGCTGAAGGGTCTGCAAGTGACAAAGAGTCACTAAAACTTTCTCATGTATGCCATGCGTAGCATTTCCCCACCTGAGCATTTCTGGAATAACTTTAGGTTATTTTTGCACTCAGCTTCTTGTAAGTTTCCCCCATCTGAGACAGTTTAATGCCCTCATAATTCTGTACAGAAACAAAAGGGAATGCTGGGTTTTACGAATATTGCCTGCACCTAACCTTTGCACGATTATGAATGTAACCATGAAATTGGCTGAAGAGAGGAGGCATTAAGACCTGAGGAGAGGTGTGTGCTCTGTAAGCTACTCTGGTGATAATAGATTTTAAAGGTACCAAGATATCAAGAAAGAAACAAGATAAAAATTATATAAAATAGGCTGGGCGTGGTGGCTCACACCCGTAAGCCTAGCACTTTGGGAGGCCAAGGCAGGAGGATCACTTGAAGTCAGCTGCTCGAGACCAGTCTGAGCAACATAGCGAGACCTCATTTCTACTGAAAATAGAAAAATTAGCTGGGCGTGGTGGTGTGTGATTGTAGTTCCAGCTACTCTGAAGCCTAAAGCTGGAGGATCAACTGAACCCAGGAGTTCAAGGCTGTAGTGAGCTATGATGACGCCACCGTACTCTAGCCTGGGTGACAGAGTGAGACCCTGTCTCAAAAAACAAATTGTATAAAATAACAGATAAGCTAATACTACCACTACCACTACATAAAATGAAGGCAGTTAAACAACAAAAACAAAATTCTTACTAACATCTATCTCTGCTCAACTGGTAGAATATGAGCCCAGAGTGTATTTGGTGTTTCCTCTTGTGGGCAGATACTTTTGGGTGGGCTGATTCAGCTACCAGACATGGCCTCTTTTCTCTCTAATCACCTTCCAGTGTTTGGTCCAGGGCTGGCCAGGTGCACATCAATGAGATCTCACCAATGAGGTGTAAGTGAAAGATGGTAGGTGGATTTACTCATTTGGCTTTCATTGTAAGTTTTAAAAGGGACAGATGGAATTGGCTGCCACACTCCTTCACCTGTTGCTCCTATGGTTTTCCTTCTTCTCTAGAGGGCGGCAACCATCTTATGACGATAACGGAACAGTATGCGGATAGAAACCTTTCTGCTGAGATCATGGAGAAGAAAGAGAGAGCCTGGATCCCTGACGGCCCTTGTTAAGGTGCTCACCAGCCCTGGACTGCCTACTCCAGAACTGCTTGTACAGTAACAAGTAAGCCCCTTTACTTTTGTTTATGCCCTGGCCAGTCTTCTCTTGTTGTTTTTGTTGTGACCTAGAGCTTAATGCATTTCTAACTGACACATCTGCCATGCTGCACGGTACTATGTGCCATCTATCCCAATGCCTTAATCTGAGGCAAAATAGCACAAGGAAAGCACAGACATCTGTGCCTTAAATTCTAGACCATTCATAGTACAAGTTCACTTGATTGTTTCTGGTTTATTCAAGACTAGCTGAAAGTCAGTGATATTAAATCTGTTTTTTTTTTTTTCCTGAATGTTCATACTCAGCTGGAGTGTGGGGCCAGAGAATTTCACAGACTATGATCCTTTAATTTACAAAACTGCTCCTCTTTGCTGCTTGTCTAAGTCAAGATATGTTTATAAAGGCAAACATGAAGCAGAACTTTTCTGTTACAATCATAGGAAAAGAAAAGAATAGCCCACATCAGCATTATGGGGAGAAATTCTGGAGACAGAACGCACTGGGAATCGGGAGGCTTAGCTTTATTCATGTTGACTTGCAGGAGTGCTTCATAAATAAAGTAATAATAAAAAAAGCTCCCACCTCTAATTATGAGATTTAATGAGCGAATGGTGATAACCCTTTCCACTAGGAAAATACTACCTCTCTAGTCCTCTTTATTTCTACCTCCAAGAAGGCTAATAGGCTCTCTATTATGACACTGGCCAAACAGATAACACCATAATGTAATCCGAGTTTCCATAGTTCTATACTAAGTTGATAGTACAGCCCCCTTTCCTCCCCCTCCCTTGCTTAATCTCATGTATTGCTGAGGATCTGTTTTTCTGATGAGGCTGGAAGCCTGTCCACAGAGAGGGATCATGTCTTACTCATCTCTGCAGCTCCTAAAGCACTCAGAATCTTTGCTGCACCTCAGAGAAGCACATTGTGTTGGGCATCACAGTTTTCTAAAAGCTGGATTATTTTATCAGACCTTTGAGTCAAGACCATTTGGGAGACCATCAGGGATCCTTAACATCGTGTTATGGAGAAGGAAAACTGAGAGGCTGAGTTGCTGGCCCCAGGGGTCACACAATTGCTAAAAAGCTAGAAACTAGGACTTCTGGTTGCTACTTTGAAGTCATTTCCACTATGCCATGCCTATTACAGGCTCTCAAAGAATGTCTGTTAAATAAAATGAGCACGTGAGTGAGGCTTTTAATCGGGGAGTAGGCAAGTTTCACAAAACTATAGCTACTTAAATGCTGTAATGAACACCTACAAGCTTATTTTGACTTAAATAACTCACTTTCTGCATTTCCCCAGAGCCTATTTCCCATCTACAGAAAAAAGGCTCTTTTATATGAAAGGCAGATACACATACCCAAAGTAAGTGGAGAATACTTGAGCCACAAAGTTCCTTAAAAGCAAATTCATGTCAAACAGCTGAGTTAACTAGGGACTGAGCCATTTTTGACAACTGAGCCCATCTCTTTAAGAATAGTTTGGTAAGTCAGTCAAGATGGCCAAAATCTCACTATTAATGTGCCACAAGAGAAGACAATGCATCAATATTTATACTTCTTAGAAGCCTAAGCAATATATTAACTTTAAGAGTCCCACAGAAAAGAACAGCTCCGCATAGCTGAAAAAGAGGAGAGCCACACAATGCTGTTTTTGTTTTGACACCATTCAGAAGTTATATGCA